TCTTTGCTGCGGAGGTGGTTGGTTCGAGGCCTTCAAGCCTCGGCGTCGGACTCACAGAGTCCGCGCGAAAGTTTCCGGGAGGGTAAAGCGACGGGAGGACTCGCCGGCATCTGAATTCGAAATTGCGCGGGCAGCGCCCCCGCACTACGGGAAAGCTCGGGGAAACGTGTCGCTCCCTCGTAACCCAGGACCAGCCGTCGCCAAGAAAACGAGTCCCCCTGGCGACACTAGTGACAATCAATCTGCGGCTGCCACGCGGCGTGAGCGGCCGACCAGGGCAACACCGTCAAACCCGTATAAGGCAATATTAAAGTCGGGGAATCAAAACGATCAATCAAAACAAACCCGTTCCCCCTTATCTCACAAGCTCGAGGCGGGTCCTGCCAACACACTTGCTCCGTCCGCCTCAGCGCGCGCCGTACGTCCGTATCGCAATAGACGCTGTCGTCATCTGCGATGGGGAAGGTCGGTAGCGAGATGAGACGGTCGGAGGTACGTGATGAACACGGGCAAGGTCCCGCGTTCCCGGTCATCCGAACCAACACCGAATCCATACAACAGTCGTCGCAACTCCTCTCTCTTTAAGGTGGGTGCGTCGAGGGAAGACGACAAAGTCTAAGCTCTCTCCCCTCGCGGGGGCGTCGACCGTCCGCGCGGACACAAGCGGTTGACGTTACCGGTACGGGGGCGAGAAGCTCCAAAAGCGAAGACTATCAGTTCAAAAAGGAAAGCATTGGAGAGAGAGAGAAAGAGAGAGAGAGAGAGGGTGAGTTGCGCCGAGACCGCGCGAGAGCGCAGAAAAGGCCGCGGAGGGGAGGGGAACAACCGGATCAACACACTCATACTCCTAAGCAGACGGTCCCCCAGTTCAGCTTCCCCATTCCTGCCCGGAAGAGTACATACACACATACATGCATGCAATCAACAACTCTTGACAGGACATCTAATCATCCATGAACCTTCGACATCACTCATGCGCACAACCAGCTCCCATCACTCGGGGCTTCACACACACGACATGCATGGACAAAGCAGCAATGGAGATAAAAGCGAGTCCTTCTTGTACACAAAAATTTCAATTAGCTGCGGCCCCCAGGCACAGCCTTCAAAACTTCCCAAGACCACCGACCACCATAGCCACAAGGCCCTGCCGCGGCCGGCGTCCAATCCCCACCACTGCTCAGTCCCTCCGACTGCTTAGCCCCGAGACTACCGCGGGGCCCACCCCACGTCGTCACTCCGCCCGTCCTTGGGCTCGTCGAGCCTGTTCGGCGCCGCGGACTATCACGCATAGCTCGCGCAGCATTGCAGCCGAGATCAAAGAGGAGGAGAGGAGAGGGTTGCGCAAATTTATAGCGCGGGAGGCGGCGGGTTAACAGCGCGAGGTGCGGGCAGCGCAGGGTGTAGATGAGCAGGACAGGAGAGAGAGGTGGGGAGTTAGAGGGTTCGACCCGCGGGATTGCATGGCTACATGA